AACCGAACAGTATTCTCATGCGAAGATGTGCTTGAAGTTTCGATTCTCAAGACGAGTTTGAACGGACTTTGGAATGGCTCGATGAAGCTGTAGAAGGCTCTGAATTTAGGGATTGAGGTTGTCTATAATGCAAATGGTTTCTAATACGCTACGTGTGAGACCTCCGGTGGGACTTGTGGATCCAATCTTGCTATGAGCGAATTTTTCTGCTTTTGTCACGACTAGCCTCATCGTCGAACTTGTCAAGACCGTGGTATGCAACCCCCTTTAATTTTCATGTTCACTAGGTTAATTTTTATGTTTGCATTTTCATCTCTAGCTTTAGTATTAGGTACTGATCGATAGGACCGACATCGAATAATTAAATTTTAAATAATTATTTGTTTGAATTCCAAACAGCCAAAAGAAAGAGAGGGGGAGGTGAACCTATCACACTCTTCTCTATTTCGGTTATTCAGAGTTTGGACAACCTATCCCCATTCGTATCCTTTAATATTTCGTTGTTTTATGAAATGTTCGGATTTTAAAAGGGGCAAGATTGATTTCTTGATTTTTAGTAACCAAGAAGTTCCATCGGATGCCATGTTTCTGCACTTTTAATGTGATTGCTAGTTGAAAGTTGATAAAACTGTGGTCACAAAAATGTCAATTGAAGTTTGGGCTTAAGTTACTTTACCCTTTCTTGGATCATAAGGTTCTTTTTGGTTAGGCAGAAATAAGTAAAAAAAGAAAAAAGATAGAAAGTGAACTGAATAAAAAGAAAAGAGATTTTATAACATGCATTTGATTAGCATGAAAATTTATCCAAGAAAAGTATAAAAAAATATTAGTTTGTTAGTCTAGATAGTCTGAAAGTGAAAAAAAAAAAAATGATTATGCATACCAAAACTACCCTTATGAAGTAAAATGATGGATTATTAAATTCAAATATATACAAGTAATTGTTTATTTCATTTTTATTATTTATATTTAGAATAAGTCTTTATAATATTTTCTTAACTAAAACTATTTTTTAGTTTAAGATAAACAAATTAAAAAAAAAAATAAAAAATTAGAGATGAGGAGGATATAATAGTGTTTGGGAGAAAAATCAAATATTTCACCATATATATAAATACATATATATATATATACACACACACACACACATGAATTATGAGTGGCTAGAATTGCAACATATAACAGACAATTAAAAAAAATTAAAAATTCTATTAAGAAACATGATCTATTTTGAGTAATTTTATCCAAATTATCATTGATATTCTGCATATATATAACGGTAGAATTTACATTATTCAGAATAAAAGTTATTTTGGAGAGAACTTTGCACTATTAAGTTAATGGGTAAAATAGGAATTGCAAATAAATAAGCGCTTCTTTCACGTGAAAATAAAATTTTCGCCTGTTTTTGTTAGAAAAATGTTGAGGAAAAATAAGGGAAACTAAATTTTCCATTAAGTTTCCATTTCTATCTATTTAAACTCTAAAGGTTTGTTTGGTTAGCAAGAACTAGCTAAAAAGGAACCAATGGGGCCAGTCGCCTAGCGGTATCAGCCTTTCACTTCCCAAAAGGAGGTCCGGGGTTCGAGTCTCAGAAGAGACATGTGTGTCTGACTACCAACTAAAAAAAAAAAAAACTAGCTAGAAAAGAAAAAGAAAATATTTAAAAAATTTATGCATTTGGTTAGATGGAAAGTGAAAACTTTTGAGAAAACTGTTGTGAATTTTCCCCAAAAAATTTCCAGTATAAAATACGCGAAAATTTACTTTCTCGTAAAACTTATCCACTTTATATCTTAGTTTCCTCTTGTGCCCTTGTCAGTTATTTCTCACCCTCACTCTTCTTTACTTTCTTGATTTCTCCATATTTCTCTCCTTGATTCTCTTCACGCTTTAGTTTGTCACAAACTTTACGCAAATGTAGATTTCTTTCTGTAAATTGATATAATTCTAATTTAATTATTTATGTTTTTATATATGCATAAAAAATTAATTTTTTATTATTATTTTGGTATCAATCATTAATAATGACTGAGATAGAGTGGTAAACATACATGTTTATTTTACTGTTGGTGTTGTAGGCGATTGGGATTCTTAGTTTGATTGGGAACTTAAGCTCTCCAGATTTGGGTTTTACAATTGTTGTGTCCGTTAAGGACAAAATTTAGATATTAATGGAAATAATTATATTATTATTTTTAATAATATATTATTTTACTTTCCTTTTATTTTATTTTATTTTTCTTTGTTAAAAATGGATATAAACAATTAGGTATAAAGTGGTTCATCAAACACAATTTTATTTTATTTTAAAATATTTAAATTCCTAAGGGTAGTTTTGGTAATAGAATCAAAATTTTTTTTTTCTTTTTTTTTTTTTTTTTTTTTTTTTTCCAAACTAACAAACTGATATTTTCTCATAATTTTTTTGAAAATTTTCCCTTCTGACCAAATGCACACTGGAAACTTAATTTTCTTTTCATTTACTTCACTCTCACTTTTTATCATAAATTTCTATCTAACCAAACGAACCCTAACAAAATTTAAAAACTTAAAAAAAAAAAAATTTCCTTTCTTTTCTTTTCCAGCTATTTTCACCTAACCAAACAAAAACATAAGGGCCTGTTTGGTGCTTGTTTCCAAGTGTTCTGTATTGCTCTCGGGCCGCTATAGTAACCCATTTTGAGTCCACAACATGTTTGGCCCGCTTTGTTTTGTTCCCAACAGTAGCAGTACACTTTCAATATTATGCCCAAAAGCTGGAACAACAATTTTGAGTTCTATGTTGTTCCAGACCCCCTTTTTTTCACTGTAGATAATAATAAATTTTTTTTTAGGGCAAATCATTTTAGCCTCCCAATCGCCTCCGTCTCTATTCTCGTTCTCAACTCTGGAACTTGCTCCCTCTCTGTCTCTCTCTCCAACTGCAAACACAAAATCTACAAGGATCATAAGTTCAAAACCCGCCTCCATCTCTATTCTTGTTCTCAATTCTGAACTTGCCCTAATCGCCTCCCAGTGGCGATTTCACGGCAAATCATTTCAGCGTCCCAATCCCTTCCATCTCTATTCTCGTTCTCAACTCTAAACTTGCCCTAATCGCCTCCTAATGGCGATTTCACGGCAAATCATTTCAACCTCCCAATCGCCTCCATCTCTATTCTCGCTCTCAACTCTGAACTTGTCCTCTCTCTCTCTTTCTCTGCAAATGTAAACTACAAAATATACAAGAATCAATTGCCGTCTCTCTCCCTCTCTGCAACTGCAAACTACAAAATCTACCAGAATGGGTTTCATTTCAAATTGAAAACCCATATCGGCATATCATTTCAGATTGTTCAAAACCCATATCGGCATATCATTTCAGATTGTTCAAAAAATCAAAACCCATATCTTTCGGTTTCCATCAACCGCTGTTTCAATGTGTATGGGTTTCCTTTTGTGTGTATGGGTTTCCTTTTCCTTGTGTGTATGGGTTTCTGCTGTTCCAGTATGGGTTTCCTTGTGTGTTTGGGTCTCTAACTCTCAAGCTTGCCCCATCTCTCTTTCTCTCTCTCTCTCTCTCTGCAACTGCTAACCAAATCAACTAATCAAGCTCTGTAATTCTTGTTTTGCAAACTAATCAAGCTCTGTAATTAATTTAATTTAATCATCCAAAAAGAAAAAAAAATTAATTTCTATTCCAAAATTCTCACTCCAAATTTTCGTTTCAAATATGTTTTGTTCTTATTTCAAAACACTACACTACAACACACTTGTTCTTTTCTAAGCTAAAACAAAACACTATAATGCACAACACTTCCCAAACGACCCTAAGAAAAGTCAAAACTGATTGAACAATCACAAAGAAATATCCATTCTTGTGAAACTATGAATTAGTTGTGGAACCCATAAAATGTGTATTTTACAGTGTCCTCAGGTCAAGGTGAGCCTAAAACATGTCCAAATCAGATTAGCTATGCCTGAAAATGTGAATTTACCAAGAGGGTTCAAATTTTCCTTGCAACAGAAGCTGCCCTAAACCTCTGGTTCCAGCAACTTCACCAGTCAGCATCAATTCACGGAGGAGTACGTATCTACATAGACCCACACACATTCACACACACACACACACACATATAGATATATATATATATATATATGCATCTTCCTTCCATTTCCAATATATGTGGGTACCGGGTAGTTCTTACAATAGATCATACTAGTTTCAAGAGGAAGATAATGCACCACCATTCAATTAATGAAAGGTGAAATTAGATGGAACTCTAGCTCTTAGTTAACTAACAAAGCCTAATTGACTTGGTCAGACACCTAGTTAGTTGTGTCCCCACCTTAATTATTTATCCCAAAGAATGGGCTGATTGCATCTTGCTTTCACATTGACACTGTGAACAACTAATTACGACTATTTCTTTTCTTCAAATTAGTTACCTAGCAAATTATTCTCATGTACGTTTTTTACCTTTCTCTTTCTTCAATCTTTTCAATTACATGATCATTTCACTTATTATATTTAATTTTTTTAAATTATTTTTAATAACCTCATCTCATATTATACTATTTTTTACTACCCTTTCCATCTTCTACCGCTAGTTCATTGCACCTACCAGTTAAAGTCCCTATGATCCATATTGCTTTCCAAATTTTTTGTGACTTTGTTTGGTGATATTTATTATTTGATTGAGAATTTATCAAAATGATTGGTCAAAGGTGTTCAAGAGCTCAAGATGCGTCCATAATCAGCTTAGCCAGGACTAAAAATGCGAAATTATTCTTTTATTTTTCCTTATGATGTAACATTATTGGGTAAATTACCAATTCAACTTTTAAGAATTTATTTATGTCAACATTTTCAATTATCCAAACACATTTCTTTTTTCTCGAGCTGCAACCTGCCCATTAAAAGAATTAAGAACCAATTGATATGATTTATGCCCCATTTGATCAGTTTCTTTTACTTCCTTCAAGCTCTTGCTGATTACTCCAATGTTTTGCTGCAGGTAATAAATTGACCATGCGACTGAAGTTGATAATAGGTACCATACTCTCTAACTACATTTGAAAAAAAAAAAAAAAACGAGATTATTAAAATTTCTCCAAGTGACTCTTGTTTTATGTTAGTTTTAAATATATAATATTTTAAAATTGTATAAAATTGCCCCCACTTCAATTATCATTAATAAAAAATAATATTTACTCTCCATCCAAGACTTTCTGTTATTGGACACAGAGTCTCTTTGAACGTCCCAATTCTACAACTTGTATCTCTTTTACCATTTCACACTTACTTTAAGTCGGAAATAAGAAGAGGGAATTATGCAAGTATTCCTTCAATATATTTCTTGACCTTAAGCCAATAAGAAAAATCGTTAATACTGTTTTTTTAACCCAATCTTACTTTCTGTGAAGAAATTTTTTATTTTAGATTACAAAATAACACAATAAGAATTTTTTTAACATCTTTGCACATTAAATTTTCTAATAATTAAAAGATGATATAATATTGTAATTTAGTGAGTCTTTCTTATAAATAATCATGCAAACGTTTAAAACATAAAAACATTGAATAAAAGTATTACTAATCAATATCCAAGGGACTGCTTGGTTTAATTTTTTGAAAATTTAGTTATAAAAATACTTGTTTCAAAAACACTTTTTCTGTCTTCCTTAGCTTTATAGCACTGTTTTCATAAAACCAAACCAAACCAAACAGACCCAATTTAAGTTTTTATATTTCTATTTTGAAAAATAATTGACATTGTTCAACGTTGTCCCCACTGAATTGAATTTTTCGCCCTGTCACTGATTTTCCAGTGGGGCTACTTGTGACACAAAATGATCTTAGAGTAGAAGGATATAGTCACATTTTCTAAGAACAAAATTTGGATTCTTAACCATGATTTTTTTCCCGTGGAAATGTGATTTTTAATCATGATTTGAATGTCAATCAATATATAACTAAAATGACAAATAATCAATGATTAATGGATCATTTCTAACTCTAAAAGTTGAAAGAATTATACCTTTAAAAATGTTGAAAGTAGAGTTTTTTTTCCTTAAGATTGTTCAATTACCAATACCACGCTTACGTTGCAAATTTTGAACATTAATGATCATTTCTAATTTTTCTTTTTTTCTATATCGGATCACTAACCACCAAAGCTCTAATTACAGGAGTTGTTTCTGGCGGAATTGGAATGCTACTAATGAGTATCATTATCTGCTACACTCGATCAAAGACATATTCATATAGATCAATCATATTCTGGAGGAAGCAAATAAATGATAATCGGAATTTTGAGGCCTTTATTAGAAACTATGGATCGCTGTCTCCAAAACGATATAGCTATTCAGAAGTCAAGAAAATGACAAACGCTTTCAAAGATAAACTTGGTCAAGGAGGATATGGTTGTGTGTACCAAGGAAAGCTAGTTGACAATCGTCTTGTGGCTGTGAAGCTTCTTGATGCATCCAAAGGAAATGGAGAAGATTTCATCAATGAGGTTGCAAGCATTGGTAGGACTTCACATGTTAACATTGTCACTTTTTTGGGTTTTTGTCTTGAACGAAGCAAAAGAGCTCTCATTTACGAATTCATGTCTAATGGATCTCTTGAAAAGTTTATATATGGTGAAGGTCTTTCGAAGATCAATGGACATTTGGGCTGGGAAAAATTATATCAAATTTCAATTGGAATAGCTCGAGGACTTGAGTACTTGCACCGTGGGTGCAGCCAACAGATACTGCATTTTGACATAAAACCTCACAACATTCTTCTTGATGAGGATTTTTGCCCAAAGATCTCTGATTTTGGACTTGCAAAATTGTGTACCAAGAAAGAGAGCATTATATCAACGTTGGAAGCTAGAGGGACGATAGGATATATTGCTCCCGAAGTGTTCAGTAGAAACTTTGGACGAGTATCTCATAAGTCCGATGTTTATAGCTACGGAATGATGACACTAGAAATGGTTGGAGGAAGAAAGAATGTCGATATTGGGGAGAGCCATACCAGCCAGATATATTTTCCACATTGGGTTTATAAGCGCCTTGAGCTAGACGAAGAGCTAGGATTTCAGGGTGACATGACAGAGGAAGAAAATGAAATGGCAAGGAAGATGATATTTGTAGGGTTATGGTGCATACAGACTGATCCCTCACAAAGGCCATCTATAAGTAGGGTGTTGGAAATGTTGGAAGGAAGCATAGAGGCCCTGGAAATTCCACCGAAACCCTACTTATATTCTCCTTCAAGATCAGCAGCAGAATCTTCTACTACGTGACCAATGCTTTAAATTTTTGTTAAAATTATTTATCATCCATTTTGTCTAGTCATTTGCTCACAAATATAACAGAGCATATTATGACAAGAGTCTGGTTATGAGAATCAAATCTTGAAGGCCATGTATACAGCTTATTGCACCATATAAATTCTGTATTTTTAACAGACGGAGAAACTCTCTTGTTCAATTCTCCATGTATTCAGCTTGTTGCACCATAAAAGTTCTCTATAATTTCAAGATACTAACACATGAACAATTCTAACACCTAAATCATCGTATCTTCAATTGTTACTCTGACACTATGATTTATTAAATATTTGAATTGATTTGTGTGTGTCGGTTTTGAGATTAAAAAAATAATAATAATAATAATAATAAAAAAAAAAAAAATTGTAAATAGAAGAAGATAACAAAGCAGAACAACTTAATTTCTACTGATTGAAACTCCTCTGAATTCAAAGATGCAAACTGGGATACAGAGGGACCCCTAACAAATCTTTTTCGAAAACCACTCTGAGACCTGAAGCAGCCTAATGGACTTGTACAATAATATTATAATAGAACGGTACCTTATGAAAGATTGGGTCGAGGAATGCTGCAAAGATTAGTTCACATGTTAGACACCAGTCTTGCCCATGAGATGTTCAAAACTTTAAAGGCCAATGTAGTGTATCTCTATTTCTATCCCTCTCTATCTTTTCTCTTCTCTCATTTTAAACAACTCAAACACAATCTACACTATCTTTTCTTTTATTTTATTTTCTCTCACTATCCCTCCAAATCTCTCAATCCAAACATATCCTTAGCCTAGTGCTAATAGCCCAATATAGTTCTGAAATGACACATTTTTTGTTGGTTGGAATCAGTATGGTTACATCATACTAAAATATGATGCATCTCAATTAGCAAATGACAGTTAAATCAAAATACTATGCAGAAATCTCAAAAAGAAAAAAAAAAAAAAAAAATGTTTAGGCATCTTTGCATGTGTTTATATATATATATGTGTGTGTGTGTGTGTGTGTGTGTGTGCGCGCGCGCGCGCGCGCGCGCTCAATCGTACCTAGTCTTTCCGTTGAGCTGATCTTCACAACCGATCTCTGCTACCACGAAATTTGGCCATCAAAAGCCAGTTGTAGATCTACCCTCGATATATAATTAAAATGAGAGAGAGGATTGTTCAGATTTGAAATAAGATGAGAGAGAACGATGGAGCTAATCGGGGGAGGTTCTCCGCCCGCAGAGAAAACTGTGGTAGTGTTGAAATTAGGGATTTAGGGTAAGAAATATATATATTGGGCTTAAGCTATTGGGCTTTTTGGGTGAATGTAGTATTTGGATTGATTGGGCGTCAATGCTTCATTTGAGTTAGATTGGGCTTAATGTTTCATTTGGGTTTTTAAAAAGAATCATATTTTACATATTTATATATATATTTATTTGGCAATGGTTAGACGGTTATAGTAGTTATTGGTGTTAGGGAGAAGGGGGATTGGAACCTAAGAGTATAGGTTCTGGGACTTAAAAGCATGACTCTTTTATCATTTGAGAATTCAAAACGAACGTTTGGGGGTCGTTTAGTAAATAAAGGAACTGATCGAGGCCAAATCAAACGTTGGCAATATTACTACCAAATTTGGGTGCAAACAAATACCAATCAAATTGTGAATTTTTAGGTTAAAACCTCCATTAATGATTTTTTATTTTTTTTTACCAAGTTATAATCCTAGGATTTTGGTCGAGCAAAAGTGAATTTCTTCTGTTGATTTCTGGGGCAATATTAAAATTTCATAGTTGTATAACTGAAAATAAAAAAATTACAAGTGACTTAATGATATTTCCATCGGGTAAAAAAAAAACACACACACACATATATATTACTTGAAGTGGCTAAGATTTTGATTTTGATTTTGATTTTGATTTTGATTTTGATTGCCGAAATGTAATTAATCTAAAGGATGTACACAAGAAGCTCGCCAGTCTTGAACTCTTGATGCATAAACAGAAGATAATTAGTGTCATTAATAAGTCAAAAACGAGAGACACTGGAAGATAAAACATGGGCGGCCAAAGCCTGGGCAGCCTATTACACGAGTTTTCTTTTTTCTGCCAACCTAAATTACGTACCACATGAGAAGTACTTACTTCTGAAGTTCGTACATGTATACATAAGAATATCACACACATTCAACTATTCCTTATTTGAATACTGCAAACATTCACACACACATATATATATATCTAATAAAAGCACACACATCCAACTATTAATTCCTTATTTGAATACTACAAACATTTACACATATATAGCACACATGCATATCTATTCCTTATTTAAAATACTACGTACGTACGACTATTTCAATCATTTTCACCATGTCACATGCCTCACCACTTCTCTTCCTCCTAGCTTCTTCTCTCTTCTTCACCTCCTATGGCAACGACACTGATTCATTCGCCACAAACTGCCCTTGGCACTTCTGTGGCGGCGTTAACATTAGCTACCCATTTTGGCTAAAAGACACCACTACCTTGAATCACAGCTGCGGTTACCGGGGACTCGGCCTTAACTGCTCGAGCCCCGACGAGCTCATCCTCAACCTCCCCAACAATGAAGCTTACTTCGTTAGAAGTATAAATTATGACGAGAACACCCTCACCCTCGTCGACATGGATGTTACAACTAACTTGACATGCCCAAGGGCACGTCAAAACATTACTCTAGACACTAGTACTGTTCCATTGTTTCACTCCCAATTAGATTTGAACATCAGTTTCTACTTTCATTGCAGTGATTACCCTACAAGTAATGTTTCTCCTATAGGGTGCTTGGGATCGGGTGTGAATGAGTCCTATGTTTTTGTGGATGGGACAGAACCGGACGGTGTTGATTGGTACCATTACTGTGAGGAGAAAGTGATGACAAAGGTGTTGGAGGCGGAGATCAACAACGGATCTGATTTGATCAATAGGTTTGGTGGTGCCATGAACGACGGGTTTGTGCTCGATTGGGTGACGGTGACCGAGTGCGTCGCGTGCGAGGCGTCGCATGGGCGCTGTGGCTACAACAACCTGACTAGAGAGTTGTTGTGCTTTTGTTCGGATGGCACCACAAACACACAACACTGCAAAAAAGGTAAGTACCTTGTTTTGGTTCAGTTTTTACCATGTTGATTAAATGTTGGACTAATATTAGCCATCCATTATGAAGACCTTCTTGTAAGAAAAATATGGATTGGAGGGTTATGATCTAATGAATGATCATTTTCAAACCCTGCCTTGTTTTAATGTAAGAGGGTCTAGCTGGTAACCCATAAATGGCCATAGAATATGCAATGCAGTGCCACTAGGTGGGGCACAAGGTTAGTGCAAAAAGCTTAGAGGAAGATCTTATGACTGAAGTGATTAATCATAACTGTGCTGGATAGTAAAATTTTATTCTAGTTAAAGGCGGTAAAATTTTAAGTAATGTAGATTTCACTATCACTAAATTTGAACATTTACAATTCCATCATATGGGCACATAGATTTAAACAAATTAAATCAGTGGCTTGTTAGAAATTTTCTTTTGTGGGAGCAATGTTTAATTAAATATGTTAATTAAAAAAATCATATTCAATGAATGAAGAATAAGATATGAAAAAAAAAAAAAAAATAACACATCACAAATATAAAAAAAAAAAAAAAAAAAATTTACAAAAAATTTTCATGGTAACAAACATTTTTAATAATTATCATGTCGAACTGTAATCTGCTCAAAATAAAAATTCATTCTTATTAAAAATCAAAAAAATAAAATAAAAAACAAGATATGAAGATAACTAATCTTATAAGTTATAACCAGATAATTTAATCAATTGAAATTTTTTATAGAGTAAGTGAATTGTGATTTGATTGATAGAGTAAGTGAATTGTGATTCCATGTAAACTACACGCACACCTCTAACATATTTCAACACTGTTTAAGGTTGTGGAAAATATATAAAGGGTAAATTACAGATACCACCCCTAGGTTTTCATTTCGTACATTGAGGTAGAATGTGACACGAAATATTGGTCAAACTACACGCACACCTCTAACATATTTCAACACTGTTTAAGATTGTGGAAAATATATAAAGGGTAAATTACAGATACCACCCCTAGGTTTTCATTTCGTACATTGAGGTAGAATGTGACACGAAATATTGGTCAAACCATTTCATTGACTAACACTAATGCATCATGTGAACTGAAATTACAGCATCAGCCGGACAAAAGTACCCTTCTCCTAATTGAATCACATGACCTGATGACCCACCCACTTCCTCGCTTGGACTTTGTACTCTCTCTTTAGTTTATCTCTCTAACAATAATGGAGTCGCGGTTTCTTTCCGGCGCCAACACAATCTCTGGCATCCCCTGCCTTAGAAAGCCAATGAGGCTGAGCACCACTTGGTTTTTTCTTTTCTTTTTTTTTTTTTTTTTTTCGGAAGGTAAGCTGAGCACCACTTGTTTCGCCGCCGCTAGACCCATCAAAGCCGTTAGCCGTCGGCGGGAGCAGGAACATCAAATGGGGAAGGAAGCTTTGACCAGTTATACTTCTAACATTACGACAACAAAGCGCGAGATTCTCAGCCCATTTTCGCCGCCGTCAGGGCGTTGATTTCGCAAGTTGAGGTCCGTTTCCTCTCTTCAACTCAGTTAGTCTGACCCATTTCAGTGACCATGCTGATCCGTTTAGTATTATGCCCTAACCCTACTTTTTTGCATAGATGTTACAGTCGCTTCAATTGGGTTTTTCAACAGTTACTCGGCTCTTGTCACCGGTTTAAAAAATGGTCCAGTGTTTTCGCCATTGGTTTTTGCACGAATAGTTTCTCTGTATAGACGAAATCAAACAGAAGATAAAAGAAGACCAAGAGATTGAAATTTTTTTAGAGACTCAAAGTGAGGATTTTTTTTTTTTTTCCTTCCAAAGTGGGGTTAGAAAAGAGAAGAAGATGTACACACAAGCTTCTGTTCCCTCCAACCAAAAATGGAATTGTATTTACTGGCAGATGGCGTTATCTATTAGGAGGGGCAAAAACGTAACTTACTAATACCAAATCCCTTCTAAATTTTTCCTAAAGAAACCTATGAGATCATATAGGTAAATTCATTCTGACCCGCCTAAGTCAAATGATCCACTAAAACCTTCTTGTTATATAGTGCCACATTCTACCTTAATGAACGATATGAATACCTCATGGTAGTTTCTGTAATTTACCCATATATAAATTATGGTTATATCTATCTATCTATCAATGTCAAATGAGTTATGGGCTGCCAATAACATCTTTATATTTGTAATTTAAGGTGAGTCCGAAAGGAAGATGAGTTCCTGATGCCAATGGAAGGAAAAAAATAAATGTCAAATGAATTATATATAATCAGCCCCTTTATTTGACTATAAGATGCAAGTCAGGATATCAAACCAACCAATCATTTGAACTTTGAATATCCGGTGGAATTCAGAAGGTGGGCTCGGTGTCTACTAACTTTTCCACGGCTAACATCAGACTTTCTGAGTCGTAGTCCGAATTTTGCTTCAACGGTTCGATTGGGTCGTAAACTTTGAAATTTGGTGACGTTGGGCTTCTGTTGACTTAGTCGTGAATTTCAAAAAATAAAATAAATTTGACTATTTTTTTTTTCTTTTATTTTATTATTATTATTTTCATGTGATGAGCTCGGGTTGTAAACTCACTTGTAAATGATAGCCAAGTATATTGTGTTTAAGAGTTTATGTTGGTAAAATGAGAAAGTGAATTAAGAAAACACTTAAAACTATTGGGGGCTTTCGCATTCGCATGGTGAAATATTGTGTCCAAACTTCACTGTTGTGTTCTGTGTGTTTATTTGTGTGAGTTTTAACAAACATATATGTCAAAGCTCAATGAGAGAAAATATTAATATCCACAGGCAATGTCCCTTATCTAGTGAGCAAATTTATTTTTCGTTTTTCCTTATGATGTACTGGGTGAATTTCCATTTCAACTTCCGAGAATTTATTTATCTGACATTTACAACGATTTAAACAAATTTGTTTTGCTAAACCTGGTATGTACACTGAACTGCAAGCTGCCCATAAAAGAATTCAGAACCAATAAATATGATTTATTCCCATTGATCAGTTTCTTTTGCTTCCTACTTCAAGGTCTCGCTAATGACTGCAATGTTTTTGCCGCAGGTAATGATTCTGGACTGAAGTTGACAATAGGTACCATACTCTTATACCAGTTAATTACATTTAAAAACTGGCTATTATAATTTCTCAGTGGCCTTCTTATTTCTTAGTGGCAGATAAATTGATCTTAGAGAGTAAAAGGATATAGTCACATTGGAGTGTATCTTATTTTTTGTTTTATTTTATTTTATATTTTTTTCTCATAACAGATTTTGGATTCTTAACCATGATTATTATTTTTTTCCCGGAAAAGGATTGTTAACCATGATTTGTTTGTGGATTTTTATATATTGAAAATGACAAATAATCATGCTTAATGGATCTAACAGTCGAAAGAATTATACCTTACAAAAGTTGAAAATATATATATTTTTTTCCTTGAGATTGTTCAATTGCCAATGTCATGCTTAGTTATATTGCTAATGTTGAATATAAATGATCATTTAAAAAAAAAAAAAAATTCTTTTTATATCAAATCACTAACCTCCAAATCTCTGATTACAGGAATTATTTCTGGCGGAATTGGAGTACTGCTAGTGAGTATCATTTTCTGTTGCACTAGCTCAAAGACTTCTTCATATAGATCAATCATATTCTGGAGGAAGAAAATAAATGATGGTCAGAATCTTGAGGACCTTATTAGGAACTATGGATCTCTGTCTCCGAAAAGATATAGCTATTCAGATGTCAAGAAAATGACATACTCTTTTAGAGATAAACTTGGTCAAGGAGGATATGGTTGTGTGTATAGAGGAAAACTACGTGACAGTCGTCTTGTGGCAGTGAAGCTTCTTGATGCATCGAAAGGAAATGGAGAAGAATTCATCAATGAAGTTGCAAGCATCAGCACAACTTCACATGTTAACATTGTCCATCTTTTGGGGTTCTGTCTTGAAGGCCGCAAAAGAGCTCTCATTTATGAGTTCATGCCTAATGGATCTCTCGAAAAGTTTATATATGGTGAAGGTCTTTCGAAAACCAATGGGCATTTGGGTTGGAAAAAGTTATATCAAATTTCAATTGGGATAGCTCGAGGACTTGAGTACTTGCACCGTGGTTGTAGCCAGCGGATACTACATTTTGACATAAAACCGCACAACATTCTTCTTGATGAGGATTTTTGCCCTAAGATCTCCGACTTTGGGCTTGCAAAACTATGTACCAAGAAAGAGAGCATTATATCAGTGTTGGGAGCGAGAGGGACCGTAGGGTATATTGCTCCCGAAGTGTTCAGTAGAAACTTTGGAGGAGTATCACATAAGTCTGACGTCTACAGTTATGGAATGATGGTACTAGAAATGGTTGGAGGAAGAAAGAACGCTGGTGCTGGGGCAAATACGAGCGAGATATATTTTCCACACTGGGTTTATAAGCGCCTTGAGCTAGATGAAGTGCTAGGATTTCAGGATGACATGACAGAGGAAGAAAACAAACTGGCAAGGAAGATGATACTAGTGGGGCTGTGGTGCATACAGACTGATCCTTCACAAAGGCCGTCAATGAGTAAGGTGGTGGAAATGTTGGAAGGAAGCATACAGCCCTTGGAAATTCCACCCAAACCCTACTTATATTCTCCTTCAAGGTCCCCAGCAGAATCTTCTACTACATCAACAATGTTTTAATTTATTTTTAAAATTATTTAACATCCATTTATTCTAGTTGTTGGTAACAAATTTAGCAGAACATATCATGTTAAGGTTCTGGTTTACAAGGACTTTCTGATGACAATCAAATCTTGAAGGCCCTGCATGCTTGCGGCTTATTGCATCATATAAGTTCTGTATTTCTAGTAGACACAGGAACTATTATAACTACCATGTATGAGCTTGTTGCACTACTATACAAGTTCTCTATACTTTTAAGATACTAACATGGTAACACTTCTATAAGATAGTAGGCCTAATAATTGTTCTATAAAAATTTCCTCGTTTAGTGCATAAAACGCCACCAATTCTACTAATTATATCACCATCTATCTCACCATCCTTTTGTATTAATAACCCTAAATACCGAAAGTGTGTACTTTGGATAATTCTTTGATTTTGAAGTGTTACCTTACCTTAATAACTCTAACACAGTTTCTTCACCTTTCTAATTTAATTACAGAATTTTCTTTAGAAGTGTCCAGTAGTACTATTTCATCAGCAAAACAACATTCACCAAGGAAACAACTCTAGTGTACTGTCATTTCTGAAAATCAATACGTTTTCGAAGGAAAGAGGTATGGGAGAAGTTTTAGAGGAGAAAACCGTACCCTTCCCTCTCTTAGCCTTCGTTTCCAGCAGACTTATTCTGCTCTTTTAAGTGTCAAGGTTCTCTCCTTAACCATGTAATGGTTTTTTTGGAGCAGTGGCGTGAATCGCTTGCACAAACAGATTTCAGGCATTGCTCTGTTTACCAAAATGAAGTTATCGTTAAAATTGTATCCTGCAAAGTTTTTTAAATGACAAGAGTAATGTTTCATGTTGAGGTTAATATAGCAGTATCATTGTTAGTTTGAGATTTGGAATAGATTATTACTATTTTGGAGAAGCATTATTCAGAAAACCATTTCCAGTTCTACTGCAGAGTTTGTATATGCTGCTCTGCTCAAAATTCTTCCTTACTCGGAATTTATTATAACATATTCTAATGATGGCTTCCATTGCATGTCGTAATGCATTACATAGTGAGTTTCATATGCTCTAATTGCTAATGTACAATCAATATAATGTAATAAAACATATGAATTTGTCACACTGTTAATTGCAATACACACACACACACACAAAAAATCAATCAGAATTCGTAACTACCAAGACCATGAACTTTTAATATCAAAGACAGCTGCTACTTTATATGTACATACCCTCCAAGGTACCAACTTATAATAGATGAAAAGAATATGACATTAATACCATGTTGGATATGATAGTTGGTAACTCTTTCACGATTCTTCGCTATGGACTTGAAAATTTGATGAAATGATCGGACAAAAATTAGCCACTGAAATCAGATGTTGATGTGCTAATCCATTTTGTAGTCACAGAATCTGGTGAAAGTGTTGGTGGATTATTCTTCAACAGAACAACATCATCTGCTGGAATATCTATACTTGTCTTTTGTATATCATCGTCCCTTCTCTGAATTCCTATTAGAGCCTCCAACACCTCTTCCATAGATGGCCTCATTTCCCTCTCATTCTGTAAACATTGAAATGCCAACTCTGCTACATCAGTGACCATATTCTTTACCTTGTAATCTGATTCAAAACCAATACTTGGATCGACAAGCTCATGCAATGCATTGCTTTGGATCTTGCTGATAGCCAAGTGAGACAAATTGATTTCATGCCGCTTTCTAGTGATATCAACAGCAGGCATGGATGATATAAGCTCAATTAGGACCACCCCAAAACTATAGACATCACTTTCTTTTGTAAGGTGGTAGCAATCATGATACTCGGGGTCTACATATCCTGGAGTACCTTGTGGAGCAGTGGACACATGGGTGACATCAGTTGGGTAGAGGCGAGAGAGCCCAAAATCGGCTACTTTAACACAGAAATTGTTGTCAAGGAGAATGTTGTTGGTCTTGACATCTCGGTGGATAACATCAGAAGCATGAAGGTATGCCAATGCAGTTGCTGTTTCTATGGCAATGCTCATTCGGGTAGTCCATGCAAGTGAACCGGGCGTTGCTCCTTCACCATGAAGATGATCAGCAACAGTGCCATTAGAAATGTACTCGTATACAAGTATGAGCTCACGGCAGTGGCGTGAGGTGCAGCCATAGAGGGAAACAAGATTTTGGTGGCGCAAGCGCGAGAGAATCTCTATTTCATTCATGAATTGCTCAACCCTCTTATAACTATTTTCGTACAAGCGCTTGACTGCAACAGCGCGCCCATCTTTGAGTTTGCCTAGTTAAGATATTTAGAACAGAAAGATTTTTAATAAAATGGTCCATATAAGTTAAAATAGCATCATCTGTAGCACAAGTCCATTTCTACATACCTAGGTATACTATGCCAAATCCTCCATCTCCAAGTATCTTTTCTGAATCAAATTTCTTAGTGGCTTCTTCAAGTTCACTGTAGCTGAATATTTGGAGTCCTAAGTAGGTTCCAGGTTGGTCAAGATCTACCATTGAAGAGGAATATGAGGAATTGTTTCGAGAAATCAAACGTGAAGCAGTGTAAAGTTTCTTGTTTCGGCGATGATAGAAGTAAAAAGGAAGGCCCATAAGCAAGATGCCAATCACAACTGAACAAAAACCTGCAGGGAAACAGAGTGAGAATGGGAAGAAGATTTTATGATTGGACTGGGAAAAATTAGAATCTAACCAATAAAATAAAAAAAAGATGAGGAGAACAAAAATGAAATGTGTTTGTTACCTATAATAAACTTCAATCCCAGATTTAATTTATGCCCTGCAATGATAATTAGGTGACATGAAAAAAGTGTAGAATATTAACACACAATAACATATCAATATAAACTGTAATCACAAGCCAGATATTTTCATGTGTATGAATTGTCAAATCCTGCCCATCCAATTCAATTATTGATTTAATTTTGATCCTAATTAAATAAACAGAGGTTTAGAGATAACAATATCTGAGCATCGCGGTAGATACCAATACTGCCAGATTGAGAACAAGCAGAACAAATTTAGTAGATGTAGGATAGAACCAAAAGCAAGAATATACGGAGTAATTTTCAATGGCTGGTCCAGATTTTTAGAATATCAGATTCATGGTAGAGAACAATGACGACGACATACACCTTTTTTATGCAAATTAATTGAATATAATATAAATTCAGGCCAGGTGAATTACCAAAGTATCACAGCCCACCATGGTTAAAACAGGGTGGAATTATTTAGGCGACGTGAGGATTATTACATAAGTAGTGCTAATCATTTATATTTGAAAAATACAGGGGGGAAAAAAATGTAAACCACCATGGAAGAAGGTCCAGAGATAGAGAAGTATGGTTCTGGTTTGATAATTAGCTTGATGCCTCAAAATCTTCCTTCATGCAAATAATCCTTCCATTGATCATATTTGACTTGATTGAATACAGCTAGGTTGTTGCAGCTAGCTATAAATCTTCTAAATGACATAGGAATAAAAAATGTAAAAAATAAAAGAGGAAGGCCTTATCATTTGGGAAGCCTCAAGTATGTCATCTCCTAGGCAAAAACAAACTTTACAACCCTAAATACTTGTTTGATTGATCTCCCTCTGTGTACATGAAGAAAAAGAATACTGAAAATATTTCAGAATCAGAGCTTTTTTATCCCCAAGGCTAGCATATTCATAAAAGGCTATGGAGAAGATAAATGCAAAGATGGCTATGGAAATTAAACTCTCTCTATAGTACCATAATTTGGATTGCGATATCTAGAATAATTGAAGAATGGTGAAAAAATACTAATTTTCTGATGAATTTACCATGTCGACAGGTTTTGAGTTTCAAGCCGGGTTGATCATTGCAAAAACAGATAAATTCGTCATAATAAGAACCACAACGCCCACCACTTTTCTCGCAGTTGCTACAATCAACTGCACTCCATTGCAAAACAAATCCCTCTTTCAAAACATCTGTGAAATTCATCTTTAACAACCTATCAAGATCTTCACCATCCACAGGCGCGTTAACCACAGACTGGCATGACTCTATTGAATAATTTCTGTACTCCAAAAGCTCCACATGGAAAACACCAAAAGAATGATGGGTAGCATTGCTAGCACAAGCAACAGAATATGTCATGTAATCAGCAGCAGGTGCAGAGCAGTTGTAGAAGAAGAATAGGTCCCAATAAGCAGGACCCTGACTAAATGGAGTGTGATCAATGCTAAAATTATGTTTAGGAGTTGGACAAGTATCAGCACTATCATAGAGGGCAGTGTTGACCAAGAGAAGTGAATGATTTGGGTAAAAAATGTCTTTGATGAAGTACTCATCATCAGAAATTGTTAGGATCGGAACATGGTCATTGCAGGTTACCTCGAATCCTGGGGCTCCGCAGTAGGATTCTTGTAGGTCAGAAATATAGAAGGGGTAGTTTATATTAGGTCCATGACCACAGTAATGAGGCAGGCAAGCCGCGAATTTCAAGTCTGCAGATAGAGTTTCAGCTTCTAAGGTGGTGAAGATGTTGATAATGATAAAAATACGGAAAAATCTTTTGAGTATGAAGAAGGCATGAAGATCCATTTGGGGTTGTAGGAGTGAGGAAGGCAGAGGAAAACAGAGAAGGAGAAGAGGAGTCTGGAGTTGGAGAAAAATTCAATGTAGTTGGTATAAGTTAGCCTTGCAGTCTATGTATATCCTTTAGATTTACCTTGTTTTTTTGTTGGGTATATAAATAGAGCTTTGAAAAAGGTTTGTTTGAGTATCTAAATAGAGCTTTGAAAAAGCTGTACTTACCCACATAACAGACAAACTATGGTTCAAGCAACATCAAAGATGTTTCCTTGAGCTACCTTTTAAAATTTAAGTGAGCCATGGCTTCCATCATCTATAAAGCCAAAACGAACTCAAGGGATATGTGACTTTATAGATTATCCCAGTGAGATTTTTTTCCAAACTAATCTGATTATGTATTTTATTTTGGGGACATGCACTAGTCTAATGAACAAAAACATGTGTATGTAAATAACCAGAATGCATCATCCACTTGTAATGATGACATCATGGTTCAAATATGAATGTCCAAACTGCCCTTTTTGGGATTCAAACTATGAACAAGATTTTTTTAGCTGTTAGGAAAACACTCACACATATTTCACAAATTGTTTGTTGCAGACGGAACCCTTACCTCTCATTGGAAAGGGGATAGAAGTTACAGCATTGAGCTTGTTTGTTACAGACGGAACTCCTTACCTCTCGTTGGAAAGGGGAGAGAAGTTACAGCATTGAGCTTATGGCTCATAGGTGACAAATTGGAGAATTTCTTAGGGAAAAAGACATGGGAGGACTATATATAAATTGAGTGATGATGATAAGTATGACTTTTGGAATACTACTGACTGAGTTGGGGTTGGTTGAACCGAAAGTGAGAAAAGAGATACCCCTTTCTCCACCTATCTTTCTCATTAGGTGTTGGACAGCAACAGCAGAGGAAAATTTGAACCCTCTTGGTAAATTCACATTTTAAGACATAGCATTTGGACGTGTTTTAGGCTCACCTTGACCTGAAGAGAAATATTCCACACGCATAATTAATCCATTGACTGTTGACATGTTCAACGGTAGACGTGGAACTGTAAAATACATATTTTCTGGGTCCCACAACTAATTCATAGTTTCTCACAAGATTGGATACTTCGTGATTGTTCAACCAGTTTGACTTTCCTTATGGTCCAAGAAAGGGTGAAGCAACTTAAGCCTAAACTTCAATTGACATTAATGGTGACCACAGTTTTATCAACTTTCAACCAGCAATCACATAGTGCAGAAACATGACATCTGATGGAACTTCTTGGTTACTAAAAATCAAGAAATCAATCTTTCCTCATTTTAACGGGGACATTTCATAAAACAATGAAATATTAAAAAGATACGAATTGGATGTCCAAACTCTGAACAATCGAAAGAGAGAAGAGTGTGATGTAATGGGTTCACCTCCCCCCCCCTCTCTCTTTTGACTGTTTGGAATTCAAACAAATAATTAGTTATTCGATGTCAGTCCTATCGATCAGTACCAAATACTAAAGCTAGAGATGAAAATGCTAACACAAAAATTAACCTAGTGAACATGAAAATCAAAGGGGGTTGCATACCACGGTCTTGACAAGTTCGACGGTGAGGCTGGTCGTGACAAAAGCAGACAAATTCGCGCGTAGCAAGATTGAATCCACAAGTCCCACCGGAGGTCTCACACGCCGCACATTGGAAATCGTCTGTATTATAGATAACCTCAAACCCTAAATTCAAAGCTTTTTGCAGATTCACCGAGCCATTCCAAAGTCCGTCCAAACTCGTCTTGAGAACCGAAACTTCAATTCCATCTTCGCATGAGGTCCCGTAACTCCCGTTCAGTTGAATCCTCAAGAATGACTCGTCCGCGTAAAAGCCGTTACTTTCACTAGAACCATCGAAGTCACATGTGAAGTTGTTCCTGATCACGAAGTCTATGGTAAAATTTGAGGTGCAGTTGTAGAATATATACAGGTTTCGGACAGTTGAAGGATAGCCAAAGAAGGTGGTGTTCAAAGTTATATTAGTCAATGTCTGAGGACAGTGATTATCCCATAGGTCTAACCGTGCCATAGTGATGGTGTAACCGGATGAGTTGATCCCTAGTACACGGAAGGTATGATCATCGATGTCTATAACCGGGTAGTCGTTGTTTTGGCACTTGAGCTGGAACAGTGGATGGCCACAGTACTGGGGTCGTCCATCACCCCAATAAGGGTACCCTATGCCCTTTATGTTTTGGCCACAGTTGTAGGTTTGATTTCTGCACTCCGAGAACATTTCATGGTCTTCAGATTGAGATGTTGAGAAGGTGGTGATGAATAATAATAAGAAGATGGTGGAGCAGTAGTGAGAGAGGGATAAAGAGAAGAGTTGGGCATACATTTGTAAAATATCATGATTCATGAATGGAAAAAGAGAGAGAATTTGGTGAGATGGAGGTGTGGGTTGGTGGGTTATTGATTGATGTTAATGAGTTGAGGGCCTTTCAAAAGGACAAAGAGATGGGAAGGTTCTGTCCTGATGTAATGTAAACAGATAAACCAGCCCATTTGCTTTGACAAAGAAACGTGAACTTAATTTATTTAGAATTTTCAGAGAGAGACAGAGACACAGATGGCTGCTGATATGGATGACTATAGCTGATATGGATGACTAATTAACTGTTGCTTGGAAAATTGTTAAGTTGAATTCATGGCAAGCTGTTGACACGTACAAATTCTCCGCCACCGAATTTTTATTTTCTTTTTCTTTTTCTTTTTTCTTTTTTCTTTTTATTTAGAAAGCAATTCTCAATAATTTAAAAAATTATAAAAAATAATTTTTTTAAAAACAGAGGGCTAGTTTAGTTTGTTACTTGGAAAAAATTTCTCAAGAACTCAAAAATAAAGAAAATTACAAAAATTTTAAATTAAAATTTTAAAAAATAATTTTTAGAAACTACCAACCAAATAAATTTTTGTATAATTTTCTGATTTTGATCAAACTATCAAAACCATACCTTTTCTAGCTTAGTTTTCAAAAAATAATTTTAAAAACTGTTGACCAAACATATATTTTTTTGTATAATTTTTTTATATTTATTTTTTTTTTTTGTAAAAAAAAATTCTGAACCAAACAAGCCTAGTCTAAGCTTTTGAATGAATTTAAAACTATATAAATTATCAATAATACTAAAAGTTAAATTGATCAAGTCAATCTCTTCTGATACACTCTTAAACACCCTCATCTAAGAAGTCTACGTTAGGTTATGATTTCGTTTTTCCAAGTGTTATGGCATATTTGTGCGCCCCTAACACTTCCTATGCACTGTTAAAATGTTTCAGAGTTATGACACTCATTTTATAACCTCCTTAGATTGATTTATTTACTTAATTGAGAAACGCTATTAAACTAGTTCCAAGTCAAGCTAGCCCATCCAGATCCAAACTTAATTCTATTGTAATATGGTCCCTTTTAAAACATAAATTAGGTCAAATTTTTTTTTTTTTTTTTTTAACCTAACAAGGAAAATTCATAATTAGTGTAGTTAAAGAAAAGAGAATTCCAATCTAGAATCATAATTAGGGACAATAAGACAAAGCCTTTTTCCACTTTACAACACCGTAATCTCTCTAGAGTTTATTAAGTTATAGATTGGATCATTTACTCCCAAAAAAAAAAAATAAGTAAATAAATAAATGGGATTGGACTAAAAAGAATGAAAATTATATCCCAAACTAGCTAGGCCATAATAAAGTTGATAACGGGCTAATTCTGTCCTAGATATCTTTTAATTTAAAATTTTAAAAGTAATATGTTCAATACAGTGCATTTGACTTTTCCATTATCTTGACTCTGAAATGGCAGTGGAATAAAATTTCATAACTCCAATCATAGGTGCAGATATACTTTTCTAGCTGCCGGAAAAATATATATATATATATATATATATATATATACTTTTCTTGAAGAACATTATTCCATCATATTGTTCACGTGACTCCGACCAGTAAATCATGTTTGGGTGTCTACTGTGGTCTATATAGTAAAATCCTTCTAAAGTCTAAATCCAATTGTTTTCCTCACCATCAAGGAGGAAATAGTTATGGGGCTGGACGGGAAGCTGAAAATTCAGATAGACCTGTTTATTTGTAAGTCAAATTATGAACCTGAATTAAGACGTCGGATCATCTCGGCCAAAGATTGAGTTCTATTCTTTTTTTCTTTTCTTTTCTTTTTTTTTCTTTTTCTTTTTATATTTTGAGTAGTGATACTTATACTGAACATTTATAGTGAATTGCGTAATCCAATAATTTTTAATTAGATATTTATACCAAACACAACTAAACAGAGGGCTCCACTTCCTTATTTGTTGCATAATTGACCATTTAAAAGAGTAGATCTAACAATTTACTGCAGTTATTCGGTATAAGAATCATGCTTCTTATATTTATTATAAAAATAAATTTCACTTATATTTTCTAAGTTTTTCAAACCAGTGTAACTTATTAATGACGGTCTATCTATTTTACTATTTTGCTCATGAAATATTTGTTTTCGGACACCAAAAAGGCAAAATTGATGATCTATCAATTTTTTGCTATTAAAATCAATAAATTATGTTTGTCTCCATTAAATACCTAAAGCTAAGAGAAATCTGTTACATAAATTAGAAGGTAACTAAAATTGTAGAAGGATCTAAGTGGAATTTATCTTATTTATTATTTATTTCAAAATCCTAATTAAGAATTGTATACTAAATAAATTGCTATAAAGTAGAAAAGCAAACTTCAAACAGTGTGATAAAAAAGAAACGCAGTCCAATATTATATGAAATGGAGCCATGAATGATAGGACTTTTATCATGAATGGTTTTGTTCCATGGGGCCTATGAAATTATGAAAGGGGGAAAAGAAACAGTCAATTTTGTTGACAATGTCAATCTAAAATTACATGCAACCGGCCCAATTAGTTATTTGGAATAAAAGACACTGCTAGCTGGTAACCAGTAATTTCAATCAAATCTCCGAGATTAGAAAAAAGACTTGCAAGAATATTATAAAAAGAGTAAGATAAATTTTAATTAATTTGGATTTTGATCATGTACCGCCATTTAATAATTTCTCAATTGATATACTGTCTTTGATAATTAACGAAGCTCCATTTAATATAGTATTGCAATTTGAGTAGAAATCATAGTAGGCTTCTACAGATTTTGGGAGGAGGAAGATGGAGATCGCTCAGAAGAGAGGGGAAGATGGAAAGATGTTGAGATATTGCATTACGACAAAATCCGACTAGTCAGAGAGAGAGACGATGAAGAATAACTCCATCCATCCATATAATGCTAAACCAGTACTAGTCTGAAGCCATTGACTTTGAACAGTTTATAAGTCGACTTAAACCTACTATTCAATTACCAATTTACACTTTACCCACTAAAACACGCAAAAGGAGGACTTGACCATAAAATCAAAGGCAAAATTACTAGTTAGTTTTATTTTTTAATTTTAAAGACCGATAAGGCCTATTAACAATTTCTTGTTTTAATATTATCCTTTCTTTTGTTTTAGGTAAAAAAATATTATCCTTTCTTTTTGAAATTCATTTAATAATTTTTTTATTGAAATGCTAGCTTTGCTATAACCTTTATCTATAATTTCAAAAGTGAAAAACAAAAATTCAAGTTATAATATGAATAAATAAATATATATATGTGTGTGTGTGTGAATTAGTATATAATATCTCATAAACATTACTATCATTTGTATGTATTCGAGAAGAAGGCCACTCAGTATATGAAATATTTAAAATAGTTGTATTTTTGGTTGTTCCTTCCAAGTCTCTAGACATTACTAAAGCTTATAATTGACTTGGTAAATGAATATTTTATATGAAAGTGGTGTAAGGGGTCCAAAGCCCTTAAAGTAAGATTTTTAAATAAAGGACAAATCAGGAAGAAACCATAATATATTCTTTTTAATAGTCCTAAATATTTACACCGTTAAATTTCCCTCTATTTTCCTAACCATACTTAATGTACTAACTCTTGTTTCATTAACCAGCAAGGAGTAGTAATTGAAGGGCCTCTCTCTCTCACACACATCTATGTATCCTACCGGTGCCTCTGCATTAACCTTTTGCTCCACCTACTAGCACTTTATATATTGCATATTCTATGGCCACTAATTATGGGGTACTAGAGCCCCCTCCCATATGAAAGCTAAGGCAGGTGTTGATCATTGGTTAGATCAACCATCCAATCCGTGTTTTTATGATTAAAAAGACTTCACAATATATAGAAGATGGCTAGTAGTCCAGCCCATTTAATCAACATACCCCTTTAATCAAACATTTATAAAATTGAATGAAAACAAGGTAGGTAGTAGGTACCTTTTTTGCAGAGTTCTCTTTTCGTAGGGCCATCGGAGCAAAAGCATGACAACTCATTATTCGCGTACCCACAGAGCGCGCGAGACTCCTTGCATGTCCTACACTCTGTCGCGTTCCCCCAATCTAACACAAAACCCTTGTTGATGGCCTCAACGTAACCATTGATCAAATCAGATTCGTTGATCTCCGACTTCAACACCTTTGTCACCACTTTATGCTCGCAGTCATCGCGCCAATCCACACCATCCGGCTCTTTCCCCGCCACAAAAACACAGGACTTATTCCCACCCCATCCACAGCAAGGAAGATGACCTGTATCTAAAGAGTGAATTTCACAATTAAAGTAAAAACTGAGATCCAAATCTAATTGGGAGTGAAACAATGGAACTGTACTGTCAAGAATAAGGTTCTGAAGCTCCCTGGGGTACGTTGGCTTGGGGTCGGTGGTAACAGAGCTGTCGACGAGGTTGATGGTATTATTGTCATAATTTATTCTTTGAACGTGGTAAGCAGCGTTGTTGGGGAGGTGGAGGACGGCCTTCTCACTCGAGCAACGGATGCCGAGGCCCAGGTAACCACAGTGATCACTCGGGGTTGTTGCGATGCCGTCTATTTTCCAAAACGGGTAGCTAATATTAACGTCACCGCACATACTCCAACTGCAGTTTGTGGCGAATGAATCTATGTTGTTGCCATAGGACGTGAGAAAGAAGAACAAAAAGAGAGATGAAGAAAGCAGGAAGAGAGGTTGTGACATTCTGGAAATGTTAAATTGCACTAGTTAGTATTCAAACTACCAATAAAATACTCCTCTTATATGCGTGGGACTATGGGGTCGGATTTTATGTAACTACTAAACTGCCCCTTGACAAGTTCAGATGTGTTGTAACTTGCCTTGAATGTAATTGTGTGCATCAAGACCGCTTGGGTTCTTGCAGTTGTCACTTGTCTCCAGCTTGATAGTGAGTGATTGAAAGTGCAAAATAATTACCCACTTGATGCATTTTACACTTTTTAGAATTTCACAACACTCCACTTAAAGTTTAAAATTTTATATTGTTAGTTTATGAAATTTTCCAAAAGTTGAGGACATTTTGAAAATGATAAAATTGTTTATGATCCGTTTGTTTTGACAGATGGACGGGTGGGGGAAAGAAATAGGGGAAGGAAACAAATATATATATATATATATATACCAATTTGATCACCATATCAAAAAGACCATTCCAACTAATTATGTTTTCCTTTTACTCATTACCATACGTAACCAAAATCAGTCTCAATTTTGGCCGTGAATAATAAACTAGCAATTCATCGGTACTCCAGCCATATAGTTTTAGTTTTCTTTTCTTAACCAAAACCGGTTTCAATTTTGACTCTAAACACTAACAAATAACACTAGTGATTCTCCGGTACTAACACCATATAATTTTAATTTTCTTTTCTTCACTTGTGAGTGAAATACTCAACAAATAGTTGGGTGAAGATTATGTATAGAAGTGTTATACAATAATAATAAGCATGAACCCAGTAAAAATTTAGTTAATCAGGCCAGTGTTTACCAACAACAAGATAAATAATATTTTTAAAATAATATTGGGAATTTTTGAGAGGAAGAGGAGAATAAATAATGTTTGGACGGTTCTGTAGATTTGCGAAACAATTTGGACGGTTTTGATATTTGACAAATGTATTTATAATGATGAAAAAAGAGTATTTATAATTCCGAACTGGGAAGAGCAAATATGAGATATGCATGCCTATGAACAATTACGTGGGAAACGAATCTCTTGGACAATTGCTTGTGTTGAATTTTCAGGTCCGGGAAATTTCCTAACAATTTCTATGAGAATGTTGATTGGTCTGCATTTCTCTCATTAATATTTGTTTGCTTGTTAACAAAATAATAATAAATAAATAAAATAAAATAAAATCTATTGCACAACAAACCCGTGGCTAGTTGCTGATCAGTATTAAATATATATATATACAAAAATGATCTTTTACACATTGATATCTAAGAAATTTTCTTTACACCATGCTCAGTGGTTATTGGATATGATAACACGTTCATTGACAGGTTATTATACTAGACAAATTACATTTACACAATCCTATATTACGTGAATAAAAAAAGTAAAAATATTATATATATATATAGGTGTGTCACTCTAAATGATAAGAGGCATTTTGGAATAAAATTCAAGAACAAAATCGTAACAATTCGGATTCAAAACAAACAATATCATATTAAGTGATGGAATTAGTCATTACATAACATATACTTATAAAAATATATAGTAATCATATTCCATGGCACTATATTTTGTATAAGCAATCATATATTTTTGTGTTTAAATATGTTGATAGGGAAAAATAAACTTAGCCTACGTTGACCTAATGATAGATGCAACTAAGTGTTGACCAGCTGCTAGACCTTTTCGACTTTCAGCCAATGATATTTTCATTGGATAAGAATGATAATATTTCATTATCAAGGATAATGAAAGATGACGTGATTCAATAAGGTAAGAATAATCTTGGCACAATTTGAGGAAGTCAAAAGGGTTAAATCATATTCCCGACAAATTTGGTAACAAACGGATCTCCCCTGATTTCGCATAAACGGATCTCCTTCGATCTCGCACAAACGGATCTCATTTGATCTCGCACGAGCGAATCTCATCTAATCCCGCAAACGATCTGAGGGAGAGCGACTATAAGAATGAGATCCTACCAGTCAATAAAAGTATGACAAAAACTATTATTAAATCCCTGCCTTTCTTTTAGACCTCCGGTGACTGACTTGATCGTCGGAGAGCTCTTGGCAGGCACCACACCAGTGCCGTCAAGGTTCATCGATCTTCTACTCGCTTCTTTGCAGGAAAACGATGTCGTATCAGATCGCGTGGATTTTACCCTCAACAATTGGCGCCGTCTGTGGGAAACGATGAGTCCCTTAAATCAATAAATTACTCGGTTGGGTATATGTACTTGCGGTCCGGAATGGTAACTGGAAAAGAAACATCGTTGCAGGGATCCAGTCAAATAGAAGGGTCGAATGAACACCCAGACGTCCTGAATGACCAGGAACGGCTTGCAGCGTTAGAACTACAGGTCAAAACTCTGAATCAGGGTATGGACCAGTTGATCCAGTAAAATACAGAGATCAAGCAACATCTTATTCCAGCGGGACCACCACCTTAACAAGAATTGTCCGACCCATATCCTCCCAATCTAAATGATAGGGGAGAAAACGAGGAGGACCGAGAAACGATCCTCCTCATAAGTTTGAGGCAAAACAAAGCGAAGTCGGAAACTGACACAAAGAACCTCCTTCTTCGCTTCCGCGGAATCCCCAACCTTAAACAGGCACAACCTTCCGTGTTAAGAAAAAAATAGAGAAAGTTACCTATTCGACCTACAGATCGAGGATCTCAAGGCGAAAATGGAAGATGTAATGCAGGGTATGAAAGGGAAAGGTCCTGCCGCCATAGATAACCTGGTGCAGAGGACCAACTTGCCGTTCAGCCCCGCCGTTATGAAATGCCCCCTGCCTAGCTAGTTTAGGATGCCCTCGTTCGAAAGCTTCGATGGGACCAAAGATCCCCTCGATCACCTTGAGACCTTTCAAGCTCTTATGCATTTACACGCCGTACCAAATGAAATCATGTGCCGAGCTTTTCCTACTACACTTAAAGGATCGGCAGGAATTTGGTTCAACAAGCTGAAGCCAAGAACCATCAACACCTTCGAAAAACTGAGTAAGCAGTTTGTGAGCCACTTCATTGCAGGTCAAAAACATAGGAGGCCGGCCACCTACCTGCTTACCGTGGAGCAACAGAAGGAAGAGTCGACCCGGGAATACATCACCCGATTCAACACAGAGATGTTACAGGTAGAAGAGGTGGACGATAAGGTGGCTTTGGCCGCTTTCATAGGAAGACTCCAAACCTCCAGATTCTTGTTCTCCTTCTCAAAAGAACCTCCCACCGGCATGGCAGATTTGTTGATAAGAACGTAGAAACACATGAACGCTGAAGACGCCATGAATGCACGGAAGGGAAAGGAAGGAGAGAACAAGAAGATGTCGGCCTCTCTCACCAGGGATGAAAAGGATACCAGTTATAAGAGATTATTCTTCAGCCAAAGCGATAGGACATATCATGAGGAGGACTCAAATAAGT